CTCCTTGAAATCCATCCTTCTTTTAGGGCGATTCCCGTCTTTATCTTCGTCTTCCCTGCTGTAGGTTGATTCTTGGATCTCTTGCCCGAATATGATCACATCAAGATAGTAGAGGTGTTCATGGATTATTTCTCAATATTTGGGGAAAGCTTCGCAATATGCATTGACAACTTGGAGGTTGTACTGAAGTGATGCGAAGAGACACAGAGAAGAGAACATGCACCTATCCATATGGAACTTTTGCATTCCGGCGTATGTAATGCTCTCATAACATTCTAAAGGTGTACGCTAGCGATATTCACAAACATGGTGGAGAGGACAGTAGAGGTATTCATGGATTATTTCTTAGCATTGGGGAAAACTTCGCAATATACATGGACAACTTTGACATTGTACTGAAGTGATGTGAAGAGATACACCTAGTGCAATGTCATTTTCATGGTAAAAGAAGGCATAGTGTTGGGACGTAGAATCTCAAGTTAGTGATGAGAGACTTAGAGAAGTCCAACTCCAAATATTTACAAGGTTTACTCAAAGCCTTGACAACATCAACGATTTTCTTCAAATGTTAAACACGTGTTCAAGGGCTTGAAAGACTATGGATTGATCACCAGCAGGGTTTCTCCCAAGGATTACTCAAAGTCTTTCTTCTTCATGGTGTGTTTACTACTGTTTGGCTTTGGGGTTGCAGTGGTTTTGGTGTTTCCGACGTGGTTGCTAGTTGACGATCGAAGGGTTTCTCCCATGGATTGATCACCAGCAGGGTTCCATGTTTTCGTGTTTACATCATTCAAGCAACTACATTATGCACCTACATGATGAATCATTTTGAAGAATATGCAACGCCAACCTTATTTCCTTTTAACTTCTGAAAAACATTGTTATGATGTTTATAGTTAGGGGGTCTGAGAGGTTTTTAATCTAATCCAAACAAGTCAGAGAGATTTGCTTTATCTCGATTTGTAATTTTTTTAGTCGGGACTGATAAAGTTATTAAAGTCATTTGGAATTAAATTTTTTTTTTAATTAAAAGGGTTAATTTAAATCATCTTCACTCTCACATAAAAATATAAAATAATAGTTTCCATGTCATTATGCTCTAATACTGTTCGGTAAAACTTTTAAAGATTGTTGAAAAATTGGAAAAAATCTAAAATAATGGAGAAGAATGAAAAAAATATATACCAGAAATTAGAGCTCAAATCCAAGTTTTGGAGTTCAAATTCGTGACTTTTTCTCCATTAGTTAACCATGATAAAGGATTATGAGATACTAAGAATTTGTATGGGGAATTGCAAGAATGCTGAAAAGAACCTCAAAAATCTCTGCATGGCTGCTATTTTATTTTATTATTATTATTATTATTTTATGATGGAGAGAGACTTTTCATTTAGAGGAACAAGCACATGAGCTACAAAAGAACGATTTCCCAAATGAGCGCCAGAGTATAATTATTATTATTAATTATATTAATTAGGTTGAGAAGAAATTTACACAAGACCAAATGATTGCTTAAATCATTGTTCAAGTAGGTATAATCTGTTAGGTTATATATATATATATGTGATAGATAATTAAGTAGATAAAATTACCGATTAGAATGAAATTAAATGTTCAAATTCCAACTCCCATATTTGTACTAAAATAAATGCAATCGTCCTAATTTTTAAACGACACAAGTACGATAGATATTAGATCATATTCACAATAAAAATGAACAAAAACTTCTAATTTGATTCAATAGTAGAAAATAGCTGATTACAAATCAACCTAATAAACTAGCAGTTGGGAAGAGGTTGCCTGTAGGGCTGCTTCTTGTCATTCAAGTCGAAGCAACTCAACTAGCAAGAGCAAAACATATACAAGACAAATTCACGAGGCTTTGCTAAGGCAGGTGAAAATTTTGCAAGAATGGAATATTGGCTAAAAGAAGAGCCTTCGACTCCGAGTCGGGGAAGCAGCTGGCGATAAGTTAAGAGGGAGGGTCGAAGTCTTGATGCTCTTTTCTTGCACTCCTCCACCGGCTTTATCAATCAGTTTTGAAGCCCTGGGGTCAGCTAAGAGTGTCTTCTGAAAGGACTGAGAGAATCCTGTTGCAATTATAGTTACATGGATTTCTCCACTGTACCTATCATCCACGACCGCCCCGAATATTATGTTTGCAGACGGATCTGCCAAACTCGTAACAACCTGCCCATTTTTGTTTCCCCAACAAAAAATCAGTTTATATTCAAACTCCAAACAATGCAAGAACGCGTAAGCCAGTTGACTAAATTAGAATCTTAAGCAATCCACATGATAAATTCAGATGCCAACAGTTCATAACCTGAGACACTCTGTTCACTTCCTGTAGAGTTATGTCCTTTCCCCCAGTAATGTTATATACTACTCCTGTAGCTGATTGAATGGATGATCCAATCAAGGGAGCCAAAGTTGCTTGCTCAGCTGCCTCTTCTGCGCGATTTTTGCTGGAGGAAACACCAACTCCGAGCATTGCAGTTCCCGAGTCTTTCATGACAGCTTTCACATCAGCAAAATCCACATTGACCAACCCCGGAATCTGTTAAAGGAGGAAGTGAATAGCAAAATAAATTAATAGGCAACTAGAAATAACACCAATGCATACTTTTTCCTGATTGAAAACCCAACTTCAAAAAGCAACAAGGAGATAAATTTCTTTTCCTCGTGGGAGACGCATCATCACTAGTCAAGTCCAGTTTTCTTAAAGTGTTTACAAAATATAAACATCAGGAAACAAAGAAATAGTTGAGGCCCACAACAAAGATTCGTTATGCACCATGCTCTACACAACCAAAGCATCAGTAGACCTGTTTATTAATAGTTCTATTACCAAGCTCGAACCAAATAATGGCCCAGCATATGGTAGCATAGCAATGGAGAGTGATAATCAGGAACTCTGTTATTCAATCAAGAGCACCCTGATAGAAGCCCACAAAGTTAGGCCGTACAATTTCAGCAGCAATTAGACCAAAGCACAAAGAATCCTGCCTTGCTTGGCTAGGCTCAAAAGCAAAGGAGCACGTAGATACGTATCCAACGTCCAGAGGCAAGAATTGATACAGCAATGTTTTTAAAAGCTTCGAAAACTGCATGCCTAGGTAAAGGCAAGGCACCCTCGAGCACGCACGCATGAAGCGCTGTGCCTACCCCAAAAGTACTGAGGTGTAAGGTGACATGAATATACCTTCAAATATTTTTTTTCTTTTAAGAAAAAGACATAATAGGTCAGCTAGAAGTCCTATTAGTCGCAATAAATATTAATTCTATATATATATATATATATATATATTTTTTTTTTAAGAAAAAGGCATAATAGAGGTCAGCTAGAAGTCCTATTAGTCTCCTTATTGTAACAAATTGACTTCACGCCTCCCTCAAGTAAGCTCTCTCTGTACCTATCTCTCTCTCTCTTCCTTAGTCTTTCACTCTCTCCTAAAACTCTCTCTCCAGCTTTATTTCTGCCTCTTTATGAACAGAGGTGTCTTAGTTATGCCACAAAGGACTTCAAAGAAGATGTCGAGGATTTATCCACCATGCTGTCCAAGTTATCAACAAAATGAAGTTACATTAAATGCACTCGGCTTCATTTATAACGAACTGAAGTTAACTCGTGTCATGCCATGGTTTAAGCTTTAGACTCCATAGACGGAACTTCTTTTTAGGATTACATTAAAGGAAGTCAAGTTACATCCAAGGAACTCAAGTTCCATTATATGAACTTAAGTGCATGTCAAACTTCATTTAGTGCAAGTCAATCATCAATTAATGGAACTACACCTCAAGCTTCTTCAAAGTTCAAACTACTTCAAGTAGAGTTTCATTTACTCTTAGTCGATGTACGCGCAAGCTGGCCCGAACACCAACGGGTAAGATGGGAAGATAAAAGACTTTGAAGGCTAAACAATAATTCCATTTCAGATTCAAGGTCATTTTTATTGTATTTTCAGTTTCAAACCTTTCATTTATCTCTTTTAAGTTACTGTTAAGGTAGTGGTTGTTGTGGTATATTAATGTACTTGAGAGTTACAACCCTTCAATTGTGTGGTTACTTTTAGGATTTGTTTTGGAGGCTATATGAAGCCTAGCTTATTCCCAATTCAGATTTGAGATTAGTTTGGAGTAAAATTTGAGCTTATTGAGTCATGAGCTTTTCCTTTGCATTTTGTGTTTTAGAATTGCATGCTAGATTTTTTGTGTTTTATAATTGCATGCTAGAATCATTAGAATAGCCTTGATCAAGCTCACTTGTAGAGTGATTCAAATCTTGAATTTAGAAACAACTCACTAGTGTGTGAGAGTACTAAAAGGGATATATTGGAAATATTATTAGTATATTAGTTGGGAGTTGGGACATTATGGTAATAAGTTAGGCGTGAGTTCGTTATAGAGGAAGTAGGAAGAGAGATAGCTCTCTCGAAAGGCTATTGATATTATAATATAAATATATTGCCACTTTCTTGTAATTCGACATCCAAACAAATTGGTATCAGAACAACAATTCTAGTCATGGGTCTTGAATTAGAGTTATTGCTGAAGTTACAAAGATGTTTGGTTGAAGAGAATGATCTTATGAAAAAAAAATGCAATAAGCAATAGAAGAAGTGCTATGGGGGATGGACGAAACACGAAATCGGTTTGCAGATTCAAATCAAAGAAGGACAAAAAGAGAAGAGAATTTTTTTTAATGAGAAACCAACCTTTTCATTGAGACAGATGAAAACAAAACATTGAACAATGGCAAAAAAAAAGTCCAACTGATAGTTACTAAACAACTTTGAAACTGTCTCCAAAAAGAGACATTAAATCTAATGAGATCCCAAACAGACTCCCCGTCTCTTTCCACTCCCCTAAAAATTCTATTATTTCTCTCCAGCCAAATCCCCCACAAGATAGCGAAGAAACAAGTTTGCCACAAAAAACTCTCTTTTTCACGAAAAGGAGGAGACCAAAGCACTTCCTCCAACACAGCCCCACACTCCCTATTACGGACCCAAGCCACCTCAAAGTTCTCAAAGAATCGCTCCCAAATGCCCTGGGAGACATGACAGTCCCACAAAAGATGAAATTCAAGCAAACCCATCCTAAATGCCAAGCTTGTTGGAGCGGAGAAATAGACATTAATCGTGCAAGGATCAACTTCAAGCGAACCCATCCTAAAGCTATTAGGGCTCTACAATCAGGGGCGAAAGGTGGCTGGAAGGCGGCGATCATACCTGAGGGCATCGATTGAAATGCAAGAGAAGACCGATCAAGTAAATCCATGTGTGTTTTGGTGCAAGGAACTCATGAATGCATACAAGATCTATCGACATCTAAACGTTGAGTCGCTGAAGGTGAGAGAAAAAAGTGATGGGTAAAAATGTCGAAAACAAGGCCAATGGCGGTGTAAACGTCGTTGATGGAAATTCCACAATAGAGATGGAGAAATAATATGGCAGAGAGGGAACGTCAAAATTCCAGCGAGCACATGGTCGAAATTTCAAGGCAGCCGGCAGGTGAAAAAGCAGCAACAGATGAAGTGGCAGAATGGGCGTAGGGGCGACAATGGAAAGGTAAGGTTCGTGGGAGAGAACTTACGAGGCTAGGGTAGGGCCAACAAATAAACTTCTTGGGTTTGGGACGGGGCTAAACCAAATTAAACGGGCGCAATTTGGTACAAATAAAGTACACCCTATTATATTTTTAAGAAGAGTAGGTTATTATTATTGATGGTTGGGCCAACAAATGCTTCAAGGCAGCACAACATAGATGGTCTTGGCAAGGGAAGAGAAGGGAGGCCAATCTTAGAGAACATCCTAGGGCTATGACCACTTCAAGGTACAACCTAACTAAAGCTTATGTTAGGGGATGGAGAACTTTCGGAAGCCAGCTCAACAAAATGGGCCAAATTTGAGGAAGCACATGTTGAAAGTTCCGACTTCAAAGGTAGATCGGGTTACTGGAGGTCGAATTACGGGCTTGTCCAGAATAAACAAAAGCACATTCTCTCATCTGGTAACCCTATTCGAACTCAACAACTCATGCCATCTATGGAATTGTGTCTACAAACTCTAGTACTGGGGGAGTGAGCAAATCCCAGAATCCATAATGGATGCCAAAATTTTCTTATTTCATTTTGGGTATTCGAAAGGTCTATGCTGTTTTGGACACAAAGTCCAGCAAAAATTGCAGTTTTCCTGAATCTATAGCGAAGAGAGACGAAAGTGGATGAAAGGAAATTGTTGGGCTGCAACTACAAGAGGTGATTCTTTATGTCCACTCTGGTATCATCATGAATTGGGAGTGGGGACATTTCAAGTCAAAAATCATTGAGATATGACCGAGAGTCTAATTTGGTAACTTCCTACTTGGGGAAATATGGAGTTGGGTGCAATGACACATTGAAGGGTAAAGGATACTTTTCGGTGTGACTGACTTGGGAACAACAAAACTAGCTTTTTGGATCATTTAGGCTGGTTTCTTTTGCCTGACGTTCATTGTTATTGTTCTACTGTTGCATCTATTATCATTGTAGGTTGGGGTTTTCAATGTGATTATTTTGTGCCTGTAATCCAAACCTTGAGGACAAGGTGTTCATTGTTATTGTTCTACTGTTGCATCTATTATCATTGTAGGTTGGGGTTTTCAATGTGATTATTTTGTGCCTGTAATCCAAACCTTGAGGACAAGGTGTCTTTGAAGGACGGAGTAATATGAGTACTAATAGGGATATATTGAGAATATTATTAGTATATTAGTTGGGGGCATTATAGTAATTAGTTATGGGTGAGGAATTTGGGAGAGAGATAGCCCTCTATTGCAGTGTTTTCGAGGCGCAAGGCGCACCTCAAGGCGACGCCCGAGTCAAGCAAAGCGCACCTTTTATTTATATATATATATATATATGAAATTTCAAAGTTATAAAAAATTAAATAAGATTAAACAGTAAATATATCAAATAAAATAAAGAAAATAGCCCTTCTCAAGAATAAATAGATAAAATAATGAAAAGAGGTAAAAATATTAACTTAAATCTTTTAAAACTTAAAACATTTAAAAAATAATTTAATATTTAAATAAAAGTTCACTTAAATTAAGAAAAAAATATATAAAAATTTCAAAAGTTTTTATATCGTAAAACACAATGGCAATAACCCATTTAAGCTGCCATCTATTTATTTGTCACCATGCATGGCACTAGCACTAAATGTTCTTGAAAATAATACCGTGCATGGCCCTCATTTAATGCTTCTTGAAAATGTAATTCTGCCTTTTGCTTTTCTCCCTCTTTTCTTATTTTTATTCTCTTTGCATCTGAATCTTCTTCTTCCTAATTTTGACACTTCTTCTTTTCACTCTTCTACTTTTTATTCTTATTTCTTCAACTCTTCATTCTTCTTCCATCCTAATGTTTTTCTTTTTAATTTCGACAATCCACGGAGGCAAATAATGTTGGCAAATAAGTAGGCAAACAAAAGACAAAGAAGAAGAAGCTATCAAGGAGAATTTGGATAATTTTTAGGATTTTTCATTTGAGGTCGGCTTTTTGTGCACCCGCCT